TGCCATGTTTTCTTCTACTTACTTTGGGTTTAATTTTTTTTTTTTTTTTTAATTTCTTCAACTCGAAGCAGAGATGATTTGAAACTTTTTTTTTAATATTGACTTTTCATGGTATGTTTTCCTCTAAAGACAGCTCTAACTGCATCCTCACACACTTCAATATGTTGTATTTTCCTTTTCTTTCTCTTCAAAACACTTTCCAACTTCTCTTTAAAATTTTTCGATGCGTTGGTTATTTGTTGTCGTTAAGTGCCATCAAGTTGGTTCCAACTCATAGTGAGATAAATCTTTGTGTAAACAGACTCATCTTTTCTCCTGTAGAGTGGCTGGTGGGCTCAAACCACTGACCTTGTGGTTCACAGTCCAGTGCTTACCATACAGAGCCACTGTGCTCCCATTGATGACTTGAAGTATTTTTTTAATTTTCTAAATATCTGGACATTTTCCAAAGATTTTTCTGTTACTCTTTTCTAAATTAATTTCTGCTTTCATTTTGATGTATGCCTTCTTCCTGCATTGCTTATTTTTAAAACTACTTCAGTTGATGGTTGCTTATTTTCATTCTCTTTCATTTGCTCACAAAAGCATATGTGAAGTCAACTGACTTCCAACAAGGACACCTACACAAGTAAGTTGAGAAAATGTTCATTGTGGCAAATGTATTGAGACAACTGGATGTCCAAATGCAAAGGAATAATGTTGGAACCTTCCCTCACCCCACATACAAAAGGTCAATTCAAAATGGATCACATAGTTAAATATAGGAGCAAAAACTGTAACTTTTTAGAAGAAAATGCAGGAGTAAATCTTCATGAGCTTGAGTTAGGTAATGACCTACTAAATGGGAAAGCAAAAGCATAGGAAACAAGAGGAAAAAATAGATAAATTGCACATCATCAGATACTTTGCAATTAAAAACGTTTCTATAGCAAATGATATTAAGAAAATTCAAAACCCAAAGACTGGAAGAAAATATTTGAAAATCCTATTATCTGATAAGGGATGCTATGCAGAACATATAAAGAATTCCTACAGCTCAATAAATAAGTAGGCAACGAGTTCTTACAACTCAATAACTATATAGGATCTGAATAGATATTTCCTAAAAGAAAATATACAAATAGCCAAAAAGCATATGAAAATATTTCCAACATCATTAACTATTAGGGAAATGCACATCAAAACCATGAGATACCAATTCATATCCACTGGATAACCACTGGACTGATAACCACAAAGTTGGTGGTTCAAACCCACCAGCTGTTCCTTGGAAACCCTACGCAGGGTTGTTATGAGTAAGAACTGACTTGACAGCACTTAACAACATCATATCCACTAGGATGACCATGGAGTCCTGGTGTGGCGCTGTAGGATAAGCACTGAACTGCTAACCACAAGTTTGGCAGTTCAAACCCACCAGCTACTCCTCAGAAACCCTATATAGGGTTGCTATGAATTAGAATCAACTCAATGGAACTTAACAAAGAAAAACAAAAGTAATGACTATAATAAAAAAGAGAGACAATAATAAATGTTGTTGAGAATATGGAGAAACTAGAAGACCATACATTGCTGTGGGAATGTAAAACAGTGTTGCAATATAAAAATGGGTTAGCAGTTCCTCAAAATATTAAGCAAAGTATTACCATATGACCCAGAAATCCCACACAGCATAAACAAATAAAACACAGGTCCATATAAAAGCTTTTATTATGGGTCTGGTGAAACTCAAAGTCCTTCACCCCTTGCCTTCCTAGGGCTACACTGACACATGGTACCCCCACACTGACTTCCTCAGTGCTCAAGACCACAGATACCCTACAATGAGCCCAAGTCAGTTCAGACAGTTCCTGTAAATTTCACCTCCCACCCACTGCCATTTAGGCCTGGTGGTAATTCACCTGCCTTTCTAGGCTGACAGCTCACCTGGACCATATGCTGCTATTTCCCAGACATGGAAAAAGAGGTAGATGATCTTTTTTCTGAGTTCCCATGCTTCCCCCATGGTAGTCACCTAGAAAATGCTCCAGGAGGCCCATGTTTGTTGTTGTTGTTGTTGTTGTTGTGAAGTGCCATTGAGTCAATTCCGACCCATAGCAACCCTGTATAGGGTTTCCAAGGAGCAGCTGGTAAGCTTGAACCACCGACCTTGTTTAGACAAAGCAAATTGTGTTGTTGTTAGACATCGAGTCAGTTCCGACTCATAGTGACACCACACACAGCAGAACAAAGCACTGCCATGTCCTGCACCATCCTTATAATAATTGTCTTGAGGCCATGGTCACAGTCACTGTGTCACCCCATCTCATTAGGAATCTTCCTCTCTCGCTGACCCTCTAATTTGCTAACTAAGCATGATGTCTTTTTCCAGGGACTAGTCCCTCTGATAACATGTCCAAAGTATGTGAGAGGAAGTCTCGCCATCCTCGCTTTCAAGGAGCATTCTGACTGTACTTCTTCCAGCACAGATTTTTTTGTTCCACTGGCAGGTCCTAGTACTTTTAAGATTCTTCTCCAACACCATAATTAAAGGCATTCATTATTCTATGGTCTTTCTTATTCACTGTACAACTTTCACACACATGAGGTTATTGAAAATACCATCACATGAGTCAGATGCACCTTAGTTCTCACACTGACACCTTTGCTCTTGAACACTTTAAAGAGGTCTTGTGCAGCACATTTGCCTAATGCAATCTGTCATCTGAGTTCTTGACTGCTGCTTCCATGAGTGTGGCTTGTGGATCCAAGAAAAATGAAGTCTTTGATAACTTTTATCTTTTCTCCATTCATCATGATGTTATTTATTGGTCCAATTATGAGGATTTTTGTTTTCTTTATTTACATTGAGGTACAATCCATACGAAAAGTTGCACTCTTTAATTTTCATAAGTACTTCAAGTCCTCTTCAGTTCCCACAAGCAAGGTTGCATCATCTGAATATCGCAGATAGTTGATGAATTTTCCTCCAATCCTGACGCCACACTGTTCTTTATATAATCCAGCAGTCAAATCTGCTGCAAAAGACCTAGATGTCACTTTGAGGACTAAGATGTGCTTGACCTAAGTCATTGTATTTTCAATCACCTCATATGCATGTGAAAATTGGACAATGAATAAGGAAGGCCAAAGAAGAATCAAAGCATATGAATTACGGTGTTGATGAAGAATATTGAATGTACCATGGACTGCCAGAACAAATAAGTCTGTCTTGGAAGAAGTACAGCCAGAATGCTCCTTAAAATCAAGTATGGTGAGACTTTGTTTCTTATACTTTAGATCTGATGTAGTCCTATTTGGGAATGGGGGTTTCTTTGTTACATTAATGAGGCCATGTCAGTGTTTGTTGTTGTTGTTAAGTGTCAGTTGGTTCTGACTCATAGTCTCATAGCGACCTGTATAGGGTTTCCAAGGAGCTGCTGGTGAGCTTGAACCACTGACCTTGCAGTTCAAACCAACACTGCAGTCCAGTACATTATCCCACAGCACTAAACCAGGACTCTTTGGGATCTGAAAAGAACAGACGAGGGAGAGAAGTAAGCAAAATGGGAAAAAAGGTAGGTGTCATGTGGCTATTTCCAGCAAAAAACTACACAGCAATAAGAATACACACCCCTCATCACACAAACTCATTCAATCTCACAAGCATAAAGTTGAACTAAAGAAGGCAGGTGAAGAATATACAATACTCAAGTCCATTCACATAACGTTCAAAAACAGGCAAAAGCAATCTGTGGTGTTAGAAGTTGGGGCCCTATTCTTGAAGCTTAGATTTGAATTGTTGTTAAGTGCCATCAAGTCAGTTCTGACTCATAATGACACTATCTAAGGAGTGATTGGTGGGTTTGAAGCACCAACTTAGAAGTAGTCATCCGGTGCTTATCCTACAGTGTCACACTAGGACTCTGAATAAAAGGGGTCATTTGGGAGCTTCTAGAGTGTTTAAGTTCCATAGCCTGGGTGTTGGTTACGTATGTGTGCCAACTTTTTGAAATTCCACCCATCTATACATGGAGTCCTGGTGTGGCACTGTGGGCTAATGCGTCAGACTGCAAAGTCGTTTGAACTGCAAAGTCAGTGGTTTAAGCTCACCAGCTGCTCCTTGGAAACCCTATACAGGGTCGCTACGGGTCAGAATCGACTCAGTGGCACTTAACAACAACAACAACATACACTCATGCCTGTGTAATCATTGGCATATCTCTTATATTTCAATAGAAAGTTTACTAAAATTCAAAATAATATATTTAAAAAAAAACAAGTCAACATATATTTATTGACATGGAACTTTCTTTTGAAGACGAGGAAATAAGATGTAATGTGATTTCATGATAACACGAATGAACAGAAACAGGATATACACCAACATTTACTTATTTAAAAATATTTATTGAGTACCTACTATATGCCAACACATAATTTGTTTGGCCAACTTCTGGACAACCGCATCCCAGGCAGAGTCTACTGCTTGCACTTGCTCCCACTGCCAGCGCTCATGACAAAATCAGCTCATTGTCCCCCATACACCACCAGCCCGGCTTTGTGTCAGCCTACCCTGCATGTTGGGCAAATGAGCTGGCAGCAGTAAGGACACATGATGCATGAACAGTTACTTCCAGAGGAATAAACGGAGGCTGATGTGGTGCATCCTGGGAGTTGAGGTTAGAATTAGACCTAGCATAAGAATACTGTACCACTGCACTGCCCAAAGGTTGGTCCTCTGGGCACCCATCGATGAATACTAAGAAAAAGAGCCTGCTTCTAGTAGAATAAACACTGGGGCAATGACAGCGGCGAGGAACTCGTGTGTGGGCCCCAAGTGCACTTTTCTGTGATAAGTCACTGAGAATGCAGATGTGACAAGCTGGGAGCAGAGTCAGTACAAATGAAAGCTCACAGACTTTTAGAGGATGACATAGCAGCCTTCAGGAAAGCCTTCCTTCACTTGCGTTCATTCCCTTGGAATGCACACACTCCCTCCCAAACGGACCCCTCAAGTGTCATCTCCAGATTGGAAAGGTTTTTTCTCCAACCTAAAAAGAAAGAAAGGAAAAGAAAAATCCATCAAATAATAGTTTTAGTTTGATTAATGTGCAGTATTTCCTAATAATAAGTTAATGTTGGACAAGAGAATGGTGTTTGAGTGCAGTTTTTTTAATGACATTTACACTTCTAAACATAAAATAATCACAAAGTAAAACACCCAGAAAATGAATTAAGATAATGAAAAGAAACCATTTGATTATTTTTCTTTTCTTTACTACATTAATCCCAAGTACAAAGAAGGGAATTCCAATTGCCACTAGCTTTTCTGAGACGGGAAAGGCTCCTCGTGAGCTTCAAATGTGATATTTAATGAAATCAAGTCCCAGCAGCCCCTCAGCCATCCTGTACACGGTTCCAAATATGAAAGTTTAAGCAATCTAACCGCTGTTCAGACAATAAGATCCCACACTGTGCACTATTCTAACTATGCTTAGAAAATCATGTGGCTCACATAAAGAGAAAGCACAGTCTTGGTTGTTCCTTCTTCCCCTCTCCACCTTCGGTCTTCTGGACACTGGACTGTGTAAGCTATGGAGTCCCTGTCCCACTAACTAGCTGTGTCACCTGAGGAAATCACTTACCTGTGTCACGGATCCCTCACTCCTAGTCTATAAAATTGAAAGTAAGACAAACAGCAGCACCCACCTGCTGTTGTGAAGATAAAAGAAAATGAGACAAAGAAAGTATGGTGCATGGTGACCCAACTGGGGCCACACTCCGACCTCTCTCCTGAGGACCAGCATTCACTAGGTGTGACTGTAAAACTGAACACGGGAGGTCAGTATTTCTTACTCTTTGAGACGTGGGGTCTTGTCTAGAAGTGATGGACCAGCTCAGGGCAACTGACATGTGCCTTCTCCACACGGGGTTTCTCTGCAGCACCATGGAGCCTGTGACCACATCTCCTATGTGGACGGAGACAGGGTCGTCCATCATAAACAATGTCTGCTTCCAGTGGGTTGTGCTACAAGACAGGTTTAAGAAGTCAGACCCAATGTGACCCGGGCCTGTTCCCACCCCGTTTAGCTGTAACCCTATCCACTGCCCCCTGTAGACAGTCTGCAGGACTACAGTCTCCTCCATTTTTGTTCTCCCCACTACCCCTTCCTCTGGGAGCCTGGGACCAGGGAGTTCCAAATTTGGGCAACCCACCCACCCACCCACTCTATGCATGGAATAGTGTTTATGGGGCACACTGAGATCAAATCACAATGACTCCAGAGACACAACCAAGTAAAGGACGTTTTCTCTGGAAGCCTGAGGACAGCTCAGCCTGGGGGACACTCCAGCACACAGGGCTGACATGCGACATGCCCCAAATGGGCCTGATCCCTGACCCTCACAGGGTCAGCATCCTCCCTGGAAGCCTCTGTGCTCTCTAGGCCACCTGTAAAAATACAACTCAAACTGATGTGATTAAAGTAACAGGTCACTTTTATGAGAGGGAATTGGAATAAAAGCAAGACAGCATTAAATTTGAGGGGTGGGGGAATAGGTAAAATCTATAATTCTGAAAAAAAGAAATCCATGATTCTGTGCTCAGGTTGCATGGAATGCTACGTTCTTACTTCACTTTGAAGCATGTATTCTCAGTGGTGGCACCAGCATCCTGTGGAGACTGAAGCTGGTTCTTGGTGGAGGTACATTTCACTCTATTTACATATGAAACACAGATCTACCTGCAGGACATGTCTGATATAGCTGTAGCATTAGACTTTCCAACACGGGCAATTAAGAAAAAAACAACTAAAAATCATTACACCATCCCAAGGACGTAGAGTTAACTCTGGGTTACACCAACACCACGTGTCAGAGTACAACTGTGCTCCACAGGTTTCTCGGTGACTAATTTTTCAGAAGTAGATCAGTAGACCTTTCTTCCAAAGTGCTTCTGTGTTGATTTGAACCTCCAACCTTTTGCTTAGCAGGTGAACATATTCACCACTGCACTTAAGCCCATAATGAAGAAGGATGGCAAATGTTGTAAGGAAACCCAGACTGGAACTTGTAGATCCCTCTTGGGCTTCCTACAAGGAAGGTGGCAGGGCCCACACTGGTATGTTCTAAGTTAAAACACAAGTCCTGCCCTGTTTTTTCCAATGTCTTGCCTCTGCAAGGTCACAAAGAGGCTCTGACAGCCCAATGGACTCATCCTCTCCCCTGTGCCTGATCTCTTTCACCCTCAAACCAGGGCTGGCCCTGCTTGTAAGCAGCTCCCTCTAGACTTCCTTACCAGCTCTCTGGCCTCTCCCCTCTACCACTTTTGGGGTCTCTTCCTCAGCCAGCACTGAGAATGTGTTCAGGTTCCACTTGCACATAGACAACCCCAGACTAGACCCCTGTAAAGTAAACTACCTGCCATCTGCTCTGTCCCTCAGTCTGTTCTGTTCCTGTTCCACCATTCCCGTCCAGCTGTAAGGACAGCTTGAACCTGCAGGGGATGCTCAGGAAGGTACCAGGGGAAGCCACAGGGCAGCTCTGGGCAAACAGATCTGTTTACAAAGTGATGGCCAACGTCTTCTCAATTCAAATCTCACTACTGGGTCAAACCTACAAGGTGTGCCCTCTCTGGTGCTTTGGCCACTCTGCCCTGACCACCACATGGAGGAGCCACCTGCAAGGGCAGTTATGAGGAGAAGATGAAAGACCTCCAAGTGCTTGGCTATAAGTATTGGACCACAGTTCCCCAGGGGTCACCTACCTCAGATTTCATACTCCCTGGCCCGGCCACCACTAGTTTTCCATAATATACTCAGAAAAGTTGGTCTCCGTGAAGGCAACAAAATGCCTTGTATAAAAAGTTCATCCCTAGAATCATTTGCCTTCCCCCCAAAATTGAAACTACACATCTCTTAAATTCTATTAATTGTGCTTTTGTGTTGTGGTTGTCACATGCTGTTGAGTTGGTCCCGACTCATAGCGACCCTGCATAGGATCTCAGAGGAGCGGCTGGTAAATCTGAACCACTGACCTTGTGGTCCAGCGTATTATCCCACAGCACCACATCAGTCACAGTGGTAGTGGAGGTCAGATTCTAGGGTAACTGTTCTACCTGCAGCCTTCAATCTGTCCATCAGAGGGAGCCCAATAAGCAGAGAGCAAGAGGAAAAGACCCTGGACCTCTCCCTCCACACAGACAGAGGTCAGTGGCTGCAGAGCCTCTGCAGCCAGACCTGGCCTTCCTGCCTCTGCTCCAATGGCCCAGAAATCCTCAAGCACACGAGGTTTACACCCTGGTCTACAGAGTTTCTGAGATCAACTTTTAATCTTTACTACATCATTAAGGCCATACTGTTTGTCATACTCATTGGCAAGTCAATAATTTGAAGGCAAATATTGCATCATTTCACACTCATCCAGAGCCAGCTGTGTTTACACAACCACCAAGACAGAAGGGATACTTACGGGTGGAAAGGACCAGTGCTCAGAACTAACTGTGGTTTGTCTTCTTCCAGATTCTGGAACCTGACGCTGAACCAGGCTGTAAACCCATGAAAAGTACCAGATTTTTTTATATCGAAGCGCAGTTCACCTTTCATTGTCTGTTTTTATGTAAACATAAGAAAACAAACATCAATGCCACAGCATGCAAAATGCCTGCTCTTTAACGGGGTCCCTGAGGAAGATGCTTCCTCTGGCTCTGTGAATGAGAATTACTCTTTTGCTTATTTTCACTGAGTGGGTTCTTTTGCTTATTAAACATTTTATAAAATTTACAACATCATACTTGACTTAAATAGCTGTACCATAGAATTTATTAATTATGAAATATAATTCTAACAGGCTAGCTTAGCTGAACACATCAAAAATCATATAAAATTCCCACCTAGGCATGGTGCTGTACAATCAGCACCTTTGAACCATAAGGTCAGCAGTTCAAAGTCACCAATTGTGTCTCAGAAACCCTATACAGGGTAGCTGTGAATCAGAACAGACTCAATGGTACTTAACAAGAACACAAGCTAAGTAAAAACTTACACTGAAAATTCAAATCAGAAAAGATTTCAGGCAACTTAAGCCTTGTTTGTCCAATTTTCTGCCTCCAAATGCATGTGGAATACTTCCTACACTCGGGTCTTTGTGTTAAACAGAAAAAAGAGGCTTCTAACCTGAGTACCTTCAATGTCAAAACTAACTAAAAGCTAAGAAGAAGGTCAATTTACACATTGTTTTGCAATATAATTTGCAAGGGGAGGCTGGATCCATTTTTCTGGATGAACCCGCTGCTTTCAGTTACCTCTCACATGACCATGTCCAATCTAGGGACTAAGCCCTAAGGAGAGGACCGGTTTTCTCTTCTGTCACCACCAAAGAATTCATAAGAGTGCCATCTTACGGCAAAAAAAAAAAAAAAAAAGAGTAAGAAAGAAAAGTTTTTGTTCAAGAATTTGGTAGCTAAAAAGACTTAAAAATAGACATCAACTCAAACTCCAGGGAAAAACTGAAGATTTATCAAAATATTAAACAGACAATTCAAAAAATAACTGATGATGCTAAGGAAATTAACTTGAAAAAAATAATGTAAAATATATCAAAACCAGAACAAAACCCAAAATCAAATCCACCGCCATCAAGTTGATTCCGACTCAAGTAACTCCATAGGACAGAGTACAACTGCTCCATAAGGTTTCTGAGACTTATCTTTATGGGAGCAAAGTGACTGGTGGGTTTGAACCACTGACCTTGTGGTTA